TCTGAGTTGTTTCCTCATTTAGAATTTCATAGTGCATGAAATGTTTTTCATTTGTAGAAAATATTCATTAATTCTCATGGTTTGCTTCCTCGTATAGCATTTTCTTGCTTTGTTATCACGAATGGAACAACATGAATGAATAATCCTATCCCTCATAGAAGCATATATCTATAAATATAAACCCTAAAAACTACTAACCTCGGGGTGACGATACTTGACAAGGTTAACAAGGGATAATTCTAGTTCAACACCAACCCAAAAGGAAAACCTTTGAAGCCCTTTACCTTAGAAGCTTCTTCTCTTCTTCAAGTTTTATATGTAAAACAATATATATTAATTGGTTCCTCTTCAACCTAAAACCATCTCACTCACCAAAACTTCTCGAATTCATGGAAATTCCCAAGCACGCACATGCCAATAGGTCTTATGAAGATTTTGATCCTTTGTTTGTGTGGCGTAGAGAAGAGGGTCGTGACACCCTTGAAGTTCATCTTCCAGGCATGTTCCATTGCATTTCTCCAAATATCAATTTGCATGTTTTTTAATTGCTTCATCTCTTCATAAAAACCATTTTTGTTGAATCTTCATTTGACTAATATTCAACCTATGTTTAATTATGTTTTATCGCCTCAATTTATGTATATCCGATTTTAGTTTTTAAAATTTTAAAAGTAACAGTCAATCAAATTTAAAAACATCCATTTTTAGTGAAAGCACTATAATTTTAGAGAATCCAATCATTGTTTTTAAACCTCAAAGTATAATATTGAAGGATCTAGATCATATATTTTGACATTCATTTTACTTCAAATATCATGAACTGAAAAATATAATTAAGTGTTTATTTAATGTCATTTTAATTATTATTATAAAGGGTGGCTTTATATTTTTACTTTTTAAAAACTTCTTGCTAAAATAAATATATTTCATTTTTTTAATGTTTTTTATATAATCTGGTTATTTTAAAGATAAACAATTTTCAACCTTTTTAAATATAAATCCTAATAGCAATCTCTTAAAAAAGCAATAAAGGAAGGTCAACATACGTGTATAAGATTCGTGAAGATACAAAAATCACTCCATATTATAATAATTAAACGAATAAAGCGTATGAAATTAATAGAAATGCAAGTTTTACAAAATGTTATGATGTTCCGTAAGAACACGTTAGCAGAAAAAGTTGTTTTCAGGTTTCAAGAGAGACCAAATACGAATTCAGATAAACCATGTTGGTTTGCTGGTAATATCTGGGGAGCGTCCATCGGAAGGAAACAGATGGAAGCGTTTCAAGAAAGAGTTCGAAATCCCATCATACTGCAACGACGATGCAATCCATGGCAATATGATGCAGAGCATTCTTTCAGTGGTGATGCCAAAGAAAAGCTCTCAGATTCTTCAAGAGGAGCAAGAAATGAAGGAAGAGAAAAGGGGAAACAAGAGAAAAGGAGAGAATGAAATATCAGAAGAAAATGATATGAAAGATCATGCAGAGTACCATTTTGAAGAAGATGATGAGAGGGTTCCGCAGGAAACAACAAGAGATGTTGCCCTAAAGTTCATGCTTGTCATGGTTCTGATATTGGTTGCAGCAAGTTACATATCAGATGTAAGCAAAAGCCTCATGGCTCAAGCTGCTTCGTATTTTCACAACTAGAACCTCGCTGCTTCTGTAAATTTTATTCATGTCAATAAGGACAAATTTTATATAATAATTTACTTATAATTGTGTTTTTAGGAGTTCGAGTTTGGAATTTTGATTTTCAAATTAAAGTTTTTTTTTTCACTCTTCTAAAATACAAACTAATTTTTTTTTAGTTTCTAAACACTAAATTTAAGGATTAAAAGTAGTTTAATCTTGAAATACTCATATTTTTCTTTTACTTTTCAGAGATTAACAAAATTCTTTTTAAATTTGAGAATAAAAACTAGAATTACCCAAATGTAACCATAAATTGTAATTTACCATATTGAAAACTTTACTGTACGATTTGTTGTTAATTTACTTTTGGAATGCATATAGAATGATACAACTAAGACTAAATATATTTTTATATTTTGTCTGTATAATGTTACAACCCAAATGCAAGTTTAGTTTATTGTATGATAATAAAAAAACGCTACTATTAATAATTATTAATAAATTTTATTTAATTAATTTTTTATATTTAAATGATCAAAATAAAATTACTAGTGAAAGAAATATTAATTATGAAATAATAATTTAAAATTTGACTTTATATTTTTATTTTTTATTTAGATAGATATAATTAAAGTTATTTTATAAAAGATTAATTTTTAAAACTTATATTTTAGTGCAATTCATTTAAATTTAATTTTTAAAAAGATTAAAATAATTTTTATTAATATTTTATTAAGTAATTTGATTTAAATATACTTAAAATCTATTATTTTTATTTGAATTTATATTTTAAAGATTTGTTTTAAAATAATTTTATTAAAAATTATAACAAATATATAAAAATATTTGTGAGTATTGATGAATACTGTGTGTATGATACTCAATAAGTAATAGGGCAGCAGAGGAAGCAAATACTTTTAGATGGAACTGTTAACGGATAACTGACCCGTCTCTCTGATTGTATCAAACATATATGACAAAAATTATAATTTATACTGAAAGATCAACTCTTTTTTAAAAGAATAACTATTCAAATTAACTTCGTCAATTTAACTAACTTTATGAAACAATTGACGTAACTTGTGATACGTTTTACCTTGTATAAGTCATGAATGATGATGTTGTGGGCAACTTTTCGAATTCACCAACTTGGAAAAAGTTTGAATTCTTTTTAGATCATGCAACTTTGGTTAAATTTTGTTTTTGTACGTCAAAGCATTTCAAAATAAGGAAGAGTCCAATTTATAGAAGTCCAGATTTCTCCATCTCAACCCGATTACATTAGGGTTAAAAATATGTTTTTAATCTTAAGTGATTTTATTTTTAAGTCTTTCTTTCAAAATAAGGTATTTTTTAGTCCTTCTTTTTTAGAAAAACATAATTTTCCGTCCTAAAAAACCAACAATGTTAAAAAGAAGTTGAGTTAGCTCACGGTAGAGTGTCACGTCATCTTTTTTCTAACACTGAGTTAATTTGACCATTACCGTTCGGTCACCACCAATATCATTCGATCATTCAGTCACTAAGAGTTTTATGTTCCGAAACAGTTCTATAGTCATGAGAAAAGAAATTATTTATATTTGGAAGTTTTTTGATAAAGGAAATAGGTTGGTTTTTTTCTCGTACTAACAAGGTACCTTAACCTTCTCATTTGGAATATGTAAAATTTATGATTAAAAACTCCGCAAACAACTGAGAGGGAATAGAGTAATCATTAGATCAAAGATGGGTATTTCAAGGTACAAGTATACCTACTGATAGTAAAGAATTTCCAGAAAATATTGAATGAAACATGAGTAAGTTTTGAAGTTTCATCATGTTCGAAACCAAATATCTGTAAGAGAAAAAAAAAAATTGATGTTACTGAAGATTTAGATCTATCAAACTCAAGAACATGATGTATCTTCCATTTGGATCATACTAAACCGTACTCATCTTTTATAGTGCCGAGCCATATTACTTCCGGAATTAACAAGTAACTAACGGGAATCTTGTAAGCAAAGAAAGAAAAGAAAAGAAGGAAAGGAGACCCAAAAAGAGAAATTCTCAGTAATTTGAAAAGGCAGTGTTAAAAAACAAGGAACTCATTATGAAACATGGAAGGAAGAGGTTTAGTAAAACAGATAAGTGCCTAAAACTGTTTGATGAAATATCTCGGTGAAAATTGAACGTGAAAACAGTGGTATAATAAATGATTAAATTTAACAAAGTAAAACTATTTTGAATGGAAAGAAGTAAACATGACATACACATCGATTTGGCGAAGCGCAGGAATCAAAAATCAATAAATAAAAGTAATGAAAACGAAAAAACAGTATGAGCTGCGTCAGTTATCACAGTGAAATGGAATTCCAAAATGAATATATTAAAATTGGAGTACAATGACTACAATAAATTAGAAACAAAAATTGAAAGTAATATTGGCCAATTGAAATCATAAAAGCAAACTAAAACTGGTGCAGAACTAAATTTTGAAAACTGGAATAACCATCAAAGCAGTAAAACCTAATTACTAAAACTGGCAAAGCTGTCAAATGAGTGCAGAATTGAAACCAAACTTCTGTTTCGATCATCTATCTAAAGCTAAAGTATGTATCACTTTGAAATTTTGATGCGCAAAACTAAAAATTGCTTCAATCAGAAACAGTGACGGAAAGCTAAAAATGCAAGGCCAATATACAGAGTTAACTATGTGAAATTTGCATAAATCTGAAATGTAAAATTGTAGATGAGTTTAAAGCAATAGACAAAGTAAAAGCATGATGAAATTGCATTGTAAAGAAACTAAAACAGCATTCAAAGATGAAGAACAGATTTAGGACTTAATTTCAATAGCAAAAGCAGTAAAGAAATTGAATCAATCCAAACAAAGAAAGTAAAAGAGATTAGAGAAGAATACAAATCTGAAATTGCAAACGAAATTTGGAGCCAATGGACAGAAAATAAACTGTCCAGAACTTGAAAGAAAATGAAAACTAAAGCTGCTTCTCCCTCTAAAACTAAACTACCTACCTAATACTAATTGTGACAAAAAAAAACGTTAAAACTGTCCAGAAAATAAGAGTTATAAAAAAATCAATCATTACACTTCGTTCGACTTAACTACCACTAACTAATCCTACAAGTAATTAAATAATGAAAGATATATGGCTTCAGTTAGGTGCAACACTATCCTATAGAAAAAACATATTTTGGCTCTCACGAACATGAATGGGGAATATGAAACGGTTAGAAATAAAAAGCCATGAAGATTTTAGACACAGGGAGTGACATCACCATTTTGGTCTAGAAAGACAATAAAATCATTTATTTGAAACCCTGTAATAATAATTTAAACAAATTCCATAATAAAAATGCAATGTCAAAGAAAACAGAAGCTCTATAGCAATCAAAATGCAGGGTACACAATAAAAAATAAAAAAATATCAATTCCACATCCAGTATGCAGCATGTGAGGAATAAGTTGAAGAAAGGTAAGACTCCTCTAATAAATGAGATTTCACCTTCTACTATTACAACAAGCCTCTAGAGATCATTTCACGAAGAAATGCCTCTGCCTTATCAGTGCCATCCTTTCCCAAGAGAGCAGTAATCATTATTTCAAAAGCTACTGCATCAGGCAAGCAACCATTGTCTTCCATTTTGGACCATAAGGTCAATGCCTCATCAAGCAAACCCTTTTTACAAAGACCACTTATCATAGTACTATAACTACATACATCTAAAGGGTAGCCTTTAATTGAAAGATCTTGAAAGATCTCTGGTGCCTTCTCAAGTCTTCCCCCTCTGCAGATTCCATTAATAAGTATGTTCCATGTGTACATATCCGGTTGAATTCCCTTTTCCATCATTGTCTTGAATAATTCAAATGCCTTGTCTAGATGATAGTTTTTGCATAAAGCATCTAACAAACAATTGTAAGTGATTGTATCCGATGGTTGATTTCTATCATGCATCTCATCAATAAGATTCCAAACATAAGCTATTTTCCCAGATTTGCAAAAACCATTTATAAGACTATTGTAAGTTACTTTATTAGGAACCACATCCCTCTTGCGCATTTCCTGAAAGAGTTTTATGGCCTAATCCAACCTATCGTTCCTTATGAGTCCATTTATCATGATAGTGTAGCTGGATACACTTGGACTCACTCCTATCCGGATCATTGCATTAAATACTTGTTTCACATTCTTCATTTCATTAACTAAGCAATACTCATCCATTAAAGCAATAAGCTAAAATAATTAGGTTTCACGTTAAGCTTTTATCATCACACCCAACACATTCTTTGCTTCTCTTAGCTTTCCTTGCTTACATAATGCATCCATCAATATACTATAGGTATAAACATTTGGCTTGATACCATTGGATAGCATTTCATTTATGAAATGAAACGAAACGCTTGTTCTATCTGATTCACAAAGCAAAAGCCATAAACTAGAGCAGTATAGGTAACAACATTACGAGAGATTTCTTTGACAACCATTTCAGAATACATATTATAAGCTTCTTTTGTATGTTTATCTTTGAATAGGCGGTTAATAATTGTACTGTACATTACCGTTGATAGACCTTCAATCCTTCTGAGCAATTTGATGGCAGCTTTAGTTTCTCCTATTTTGTACAATCCATTGATCAGAGTCCCGTAGGTAAACTAGTTGAGCGGAAATCCTAATGCTACTACTTTGTCGTGAAAGCTTAGTGCTTTCTTGATCTCACCCTTATCACAGAAAGATCTGATCAGTGTAGTTAATGTTATGGCATCTGGGTGATAACCCCGTTTGAGAATCTTGGCAAATACAGAGAAAGCTAAGGCCAATTGGTCTAAGTGACAGAAACAATTGATGGATATGGTGAGAATAACAAGGCCAGGGCGAATTCCCTTAAGCTCCATTTGCTTAATGAGAGAAATAGCAGTAGGGTAGCGCTTCATCTTCACAAGAAATCCCAAAATATTTCCCTTAAGCAAGCCATTGAATTGTGAGATAGCTTCGTGGTGTAAGGAGGTTTGGGAGTGAGAGTGAGAACGAAAGGGGAAGTGGGGATTGGAAGAAAAGGAGAAAACTTGGGAAGGAAAGGAAGAGAAGAAAACCTCTAACTTATTGGGAGCCACATCTTTGCTGGAAACGTTGCTGCAAATCCTAAACAACAGAATGAAAATTTTAGGTTTTCATTTTGGAAAGCACATCTTAAATTTGAAGTTTTGAGGTTTTCGTCATTTCAAAAAGCTTAACTTGTATTTAGGAAATTTTATAATTTTTAAAACATTTAAATATATTTATTTAAATTAATCTTATTCTCTAAAGTTTTTAATTTGTATAAGATAATTCAAAGTTTAATTTTATTTGGATAAAAAAAATTAATTACCATTAAATTAAGAAAACTATTTAAATAAATTATTATTTAAAAAATTTCAAAGATATATTCATATTTTTTGGAAGTGGAATTTATTGATAATAATTTTTAGTCAAAGATTTTTTTCATTATGTCTAATTTTTCTCAATTTTGTTAAATAATAATATTTTCTAAGTTATAAAATGCTAAGTTAGATTAGATTTAAAGAAAACGGGTCATACCCATGGAGAATTGAATTAAGGTTTAATAATTCGTCAGGTTTTTCTTTTTTTTTAGAATATCAAAGAGGTCTGTTACTTATTTTTTATTTCAAGTCTTAATTTTTGTAAAAATTGGTACGATTAGAGCCCTACCGTTAAATTGGACCAAAGATGTTAGACTGGCATATACGTGACATCTAATGTTAATGTTAAATGACATAGAGTTTGTTATTTATTTTAGGTAATTCTGACGTGTATTTTTCCTTTTCTTAATTTAAAGAATTTGGCAAAAGTGAATTAACCGAATAGTTTTTTCGAATTATGAATTGGGAAAAGAAACTCAGAGTTTAGGGTTCATAAAAATTGGGAATTCATTTTGGGAAATTAGAGTTTATTCGTACTTCACATGGACAGAACTTAGGGATTTGACTTCTTTTGCTGGAATTGCTTTTTGGGAATTTGGGGTTCATAAACTCAAAGTTCCTTTTGAAAGTCAAAGTTCTTTTTTTGAATTAGGGTTCATTGGCAAAAAATTGGGAATCAATTAAAGAAACATGTAAAAGCTTTTGTTCAATCACATAACAGAGAAGAAACACCCAAAATCCCTTATTGCGAAAATCAGATTCACAAGCAAAAATCCAAATCGAAAATGAAAATCCCAAATCACAATCTCACAGAAAAACCCAAGCCCAAACGTAGGAACCCCAACCCTAAATTGTGAAACCAAATCTATAGAGAAGAATAAAGAACACAAGAAACAAAACCCTAAAATTCTCAAAACAAAACCCTAATCTGAAACGCGAAACAAAAACTGCAGCTCATTCCGTTGTCATTGCAGTTTGCTTCGAAAAGGGAGCTCCTACGATCTCCACTACCAGAAGAATGCCAACGAAACGAGCTCCTCGCATCATTGAGACATCGGAAACGAAACCCTCCCTGTAGGAATAACCTGATCCATCATGAACAAGTTAGAAGTGGATGTTAGAAACAAAGAAGACAATCATGGAATGTTCTCCCCATCAAAAGTCGTGTTGAAGATTTCGACAACCCACTTTGGTTAAAGTACTACAAAAAGCATGCCTGATTTGACATGTTGACTTTAACCTATTGTTGCTACCTATGAAAAAGACAACGAAGATCGAAAGATTGAAGACAACCATTGTCTAAGGATCTTTTCCCATGAAGCTTATAAATAGAAGATCCCTTAGAAAGAAGATCAAGAAGGATAAGCATACAAATAACGAAAAGATCATTTAAAAAAGCAAAAATCACACTCGTGCAAGAACAAAAACTCTGAGAATACACTCTCAGGCTTTATAGAGTCATAAGCTTACATATGTAAGAAGAGAAAAAATCCTACAACATTTATTAGACTGAGTTGTATTGTAAACACATCCTATTTGCGAGAGTTATAAGACTTATAAACAATCTAATTGATTGTACATTCTGAAGAGAATTCAAACACTTAGTGGTTAGCTTAGTTGAGTTAAACACCTGTTAAACATTTATATATGGAAAACCATGAGTGGGTAAACTCAAACTAGTCAGCGTAACAGGTGTTACCAGGATTGACTAGGGAACTAGTAGTGGTTTAGAATACTTGAACTAGTCAGCATAACAAGTGTTACCGGGATTGACTAAGGATGCTAAAAGTGGTGTTAATACTCAATTCTAGTCAACGTAACAAGTGTTACTAGGATTGACTAGGGTTGCCAAGAGTGATGTTTAATACTCATTTCTAGTCAGCGTAACAGGTGTTACCAAGATTGACTAAGGTTGCCAAGAATGATATATAATATACTCAGTTCTAGTCAGCATAACAGGTGTTACCAAGATTGACTAGTGTAACCAAGACTCGTGCTAATACTTAGTTGTAATCTTGTTGAGATTATAGTGGAACCCTCTAAAAGGTTTTAAAGAAAATCTGGACGTAGCTCAATTGAATGAACCAGTATAAAATAATTATGTGTTTATTATTTTAGCTTTACAAAACACCTTATTTATAAATACTACAATTGCTTACAAAGTTAACCATTGATAAATGCTATTGTCATTAGACGTTATTTTCCTAGGAGTCTTTCTTAAACACTACAGTAGTTTTGCTAAATACTTGAAAAACACTGTATATTTAACGTTGTGGTTGAAACAATGCCGTATAAATCAAACGTCTAACAACTTGTGTAGACCGTTTAACCGTCACCAAGGTTGTTAAACGCCCATCTGTGAAAAAAGTTTTTCCATAACACTATTGAACCCTCTCTTCTAATGTTTTCTTATAATTTCAAACAACACTAACAATTTTATGTCTCTTATCGATTCACCCATCGGTCACCTTCAAACTCATTAGCCTAACACCGTTGACAACCATGTGAACTCATAGATAGTAAATAATTTTCTTATTAAATTTCAAATAGAAAACTAAGGTTATCTGAATGCAACAACAATATCAAATCAAACAAAATAAATTGATATATTTAACCATATAATTAACCAATTTTTAAATAAATAAATAAATAATTTCAACATATCTAACATATAAATAAATAAATAAATAATTTCAACATATTAGAAAAAAGTAAGCTCACATTAAACATTTTTAAGTTAATAATAGGAAACTAAAAGTGTGAAACACGAGCAACAATTGAGGAGATGCAACCCTATACGCGTTTTGAAAAGCTACACCTTCCCACCACCATGTAGTACAATGTTCGCAGTGGAGGAGGAGAAGAAAACACAAATTACTGTAATAATAAAATAGAGTAGGAACTTGACACCTTTATAATATTTCTAAAAATTATCCCTAAATAGAACTTTAGACTTCGATTTTTTTATAAAAGCAAATCTATTTTTATAGGTTTCAGTTTTAGAAAAAACAAAGCCTAAAATTTGTCACTCAAATAAAATATTTTCAATATAATGATATTTTTTAAATTATTAAGTATCTTTAAACACCGTTTCTTATACAATTGAAGCCTATTCATCTAAAGGCTTCAATTTTTCAAAGAATTGAAGCTTAAAACATTTGCAATAATTTTAAAAATGTTATTGTATTTTTATAAATTTTGTTTACATAAAGTCAAATGGACTTTTTCATTGGAATGTTTAATCTTTATAGCCAACTTAGCTTCAAATATATTTCGCATTTGAATTGCCCATGTTGCATAAATTTCTCTATTATATCCAATTCATATAGACTATAACATTATATTTTACAATTCGTTGTATTATAATTTTGCCCTATAACATTGTTTATCGAAAAGTTCATTCAAACGATTCAAACATTATAATTTATATGAATATTTAAATAGCCTTAAATTTGAATTTGAATTATATCTGTAATATTTAACCTGTTCAAATTTATTGATCTTTGGAAGGAAGGAAATAGGAAATACAAACAAACACAACGAAAAAGGCACGGTCTCACGGAAGTATGTCTCCTCAGTCAACGCATCCCCAATTCTATATTCTCCTCTCTTTTTTTTTTTGTTATATATATAGAGAGAGATATGGTATTAAAAATAAATTTTTTTATTAATAATAATAAAAACTAGAAATATATTTCCTTTTACTTAAATAACTTTATTTTTCATGTATTTATCTTCAACCAAACGTCTCCACTTTCACCATTCATCACATGTTTCTTTTTAACTAAATAACCTTAATTTTTACTTATTTTTTTAGTCTTTTTTTTATCTCGCTCCATTTCTTTTGTCACTCAACAGAGCATGAGTAACGAATTTAACCTTAAAAAGTGTAAAATAAAAGTGAAATTTACACAATTAATAGGTGAAATAGAGTAAAAAAAAACAAAGACTTTTCTCTCCAATTACTTCAATCGAGAGTGAAAAAAATAAAGTAATTGCAATCTAGAGATACAGTGGATTTTATTTTAATTTAAGGGAGAGAAAAAAAATCAATAATGTAAAGTAGACTTAAAACATTTAGTTCACAAATTAAAGTTTTAGCAAAATAGCACAATACTAAATATTTGCAGTACTATGTGTTATTAACGAAATACATTAGAAATCATAATTAGCAGAAATAATTACGATTTACTTATGAATATAAGAGGTAATTAATAGGAATGGGTAACGAAGCATGCATCGTGTTTTCCACAAACACTTATCTTGCAGTCCAAATCAAATCAGACATATTATTGAGACGAGCTTATAGCAAAAACAACATAAAACGAATGATGATAATGCATCCAGCAAGGAAATAAAAGTTTTTGCTCAATGGTAGGTGCGTTGATCTCAGGCAAGGATTGCTGCTCCGGCAACGATGAGGGCCCCAGCAGAGAGAGAAGCGACGAGAGAAGGAGCGGAGGAAGTGGGAGCCGGTGTCGGAGCTGCAGACTCGACGTTGATGACGAGCTTCATTTGATGATTGCTGCAGTGGTTGCCTTTGCCGCAAATGTACCACTTCCTCCCTTCTGATTTCAGCGTGATGGCGTCCTTTCCGCTTGAGAGTACATCGTTCGCTGCCGTGGAACTGCAATCGTGGAACTCTGTTTGGCTCACTTTCACCACGTTGTGCTTCGAGTTCTCATAGTTGAACACTGCCATAAGAGCATCTTCATCTTAGCAAAGGAACTCCAAACACGTATAATAACAGTATTCATGTGAAGAACCATTGTTTTTTCTTTTATGTTTAATAAAACGGTAAAAAAGATAAAGCTTTTATAAGAGCATTAATTCATGCAAATCATAGTGATAACTTCGAGAAGTATATGTAAAGTGGGAAGCAAAATTAACTGAGAAGAAATAGCTAGGGTTTTTCGGAACATACAAAGGTTGTCACCGACACGGAAAACCTTGTCTTGTGCCCAAACTGTGTAGTTAAAATCAAGAGTCCAACCCTTGTCATCACCCACAACAAAATCAGTAGCCAAAGCAACCGAGGAAAGCAGAACCATGGAGATGGCAAAGAAGGCAAGACTAGCTGAAGAAGAAGCCATTTGATTATTGAACTATAAGGAGTTAGAGTAAATAGGGGAAGAACTAACAAATGTTTTCTATGCAAATGTTATTGCTTAGATGAATTGTTAGGTCACACCGATTTGAAAATGAATGACGATTAGATATATAGGAGTTCTAATATTGATTTTATCGACATTCTTTGCCGGCTTTTACCCTCTGAGTTGTATTTACTCTTCCAAATACTTTTCTTGGACTTAATCTAATTAGACATTGTAAATTATATATCTATCTCCCTTTTAGACTTAATATACATAAATTAAGAAATCTTTACTATGTAAAATGTTGGCGCATATTCTAACTCAAGAATATGCATATTTTTATGCTTTGCATCTCGAGCGATGAATATTATTAGGAAACTAATACTTTTACATATAATAAATTTTTACACTTTGATATTTTCCTTCATCATCTTTTACTTTTTATTTCTTTACAAATATAAAATCTTAATTTTTTTTATGATTATTTTACCCATCAATATCAAATGAATGTTTTTTTTCTCAAAGAATTTTTTTTCATATTGTTAGATACTAATATATTTGAGAAAAAAATATTAGTTAATTTGACATTAAAACATCAATTGTTTTACAATAAATAAACGTCTAAAATTATGATAAAATGTAAACAAATTATATTGTTTTTTTCTAATAAATAAAAGAAATAGTGTTAAAAAATATGTTGTATATTTATTTTTGTTTTGTTTTTGCTTAAAAAGAATGAGCTGGATGTATGCCATGTGGAAGGAGGGGAATGGATAAAGCATTGGAAGAGAGAATATTTGTTCCGGCGGCCTGCTTTCTGCTATGTCGTACTATTTGCTTGCAGACATACATCATAGACACACGAACGATAGCTACCGCTTGATCATGATCAAGATAAGTTTTTCCTTTTCATTGGTAAGATGGGAGCTGAAGTAAATAGGTATAAAAAATGGTCAGAAATGAAGTGGAAATATATGGATTTGGTTGAAGAAAAAATTAAATAAAATTAAAAAATACTTATATAAATATAATATTAATAGAAATCTTTTTTCATATAATTTATATGAAAAAATTGTGAATTTAATTAATGAAGAACCGCTACAACTAATTCGATGGTGACCAAATTCCTAGTTGCAATTTCAAAATATATAATGATGGATATGCAAAACCACAAGTTTTATCTCTTTTCCACAAGTTCTTGGCACCGATAAAGTTGCTTCTTGTGCATGATTCTTATAAAAACTGTTTATTGTTATATCAAATGAAATAAATAATAAAGTAGGTAAGTTTAGATACATGTTATTCGAAGAGATTCACGTTATTTAGAAAATTTATGATTATTTATAGATTTAAAAAAAACTTTTGAAATTTGAAAGAATGCAAAATTATTGATTTATGAATAAAATAAATCTATTTTATAAAAGATAATGAAATTGATTAAATAAAAATATATGATAAAGACTTCATGAGAATTGGAATTTATTGTAAAAATATTTAACAATATATTTCTAATTTCTATTCTAACATTCTCATTACTATTTAATAAGTCATGATTTCTTATAAACAATTTTAAATCTTAATAATAAAATCAATAATTAAATAGACAATTTTAAATCTTAATAATAAAATCAATAATTAAATAGAGTTGAATTTATTAATTGTTTTTTCTTAATCTAACTTATAATATCATGTTAAAAGAAATCAGATATATACAAAACTATAAAAATAATTAATATAGGAGGAGTTTATTTCCGGCAGTTTCGAAAATCTCGAAAAATTTTAGGCAATTTTTTAGTTAAGTTTGGAGTTTTTATTCAAAAGAAATTCTAGCGGTTTATAAATTGTGATAAGTGTATTGATATTATTTCGTTCCTTGCAATCCCTGATCAAACGCTCTTCTTCTTCATTTCTTTCTGGCCTTTCTTCTGTATACCTGTTGTCCAGAAACGTGCAAGCAATCTGTTCACCCTTATCATCCTGAATTCAGCTTTAGTTCATTTTGTTTCCTGAAATTGATTCGTTTTTGGTCTTTCATTACTATGGTTTCGTTTGGAGGAGAGTGATTGAGGGAATTTGAGAAGATTTTAAGATAAATTTTTTTGTTGTTTATTTGAGTGGATTTGGAGGTAAGTAAGAGTGAATTTGAAAGTAAAATTTATAAGAATTAATGTAGAATTTGATTGATGTGATAGATTAAAAAAATGTACTTCCAAATGGACTCTTACTTACCTCCAAATCTACTCAAATAAACAACAAAAAAATTTACTTTCAAATCCTCTTAAATTCCCTCAATCACTCTCTGTGAAATCCATTCAAGTGAACAAAGTGTAAGTCTTCATCCTTCACCCTGTCCTTATCTGCCATTGTCGCCTGAGTTTTGTCCCTCCCTCACCATTAACTTCTCTTCTCCCACAATCCCTAATTTCGTCGTTGCTTGAATCTCGTCACAATTTCCTTTTCCATCCCTCAACTCTCTTTCGAAAACCTTAGAAATTAGAAAACATCGTCCCATTCAAATTTAGGGATTTTTTGGGTTGTGAAATATGCTTCATTCTCTAGTCAAACGTGAAGAGCATAGGAGACTTTGTAAAAATGTGTAACAGATTCATACTGAAGATTCAATAAATCTAAATATATCAAACAAGCACATTTAATCATATTCAGATTTACAAGAATAAAAGCGGAAGCAGAAAGACCAACCTCCAGCCATTGTTGTACGCTTGCCTAATTTCTGGTTTTTGAACCCTTTCTCTTAAAACACGATGGTGATATATATATGAAGGAAAGAGTAGGCTCAGTGACCTGATATGAAATTTTCTGAAAAAAGTCTGTATTACTCCAAAAACCATCACAGAGTATATAACGTTAAAAGAGATTGTGGTGGAGAATCATGGGCACGTTTTTTTAAAAACGGTTTTTTATCTTAAAATAAATGGACCACTTTCAGAATATATATTAACTGCTTTATAATATTAACTGAAAAGGAATAAAATAAATGTGAAAGATATAATATTATATAATATAATATTAAAATGTAACCTCTCTTCTGTATAAGGCTAACAGACTTGAGTAGAATGAAGGAAACTTGAATAGAACAGTCGCAACGAGATCGCGACGGAACGACCAGCCAAAAAACAAGCGGGTTTAGAAAAAAGATTTTGGGATTCGCCACCAATATTTATTATGGAAAAACTATGGAAAACCATAAAATAAAACATGGTCTACGAACACTAGATTTTAGGTTCAGGAATCGGTTACGCGTAAAGAAGGTGTTAGCACCCTAGTGCGCCTGTCCAAAGGTAGTAATCTTTAATTAAATGTATAAAGTTGACGTGATTTTTCAAAATATTTAAATTTTCCTAAAAATAATTATATAAAGAAACTAATAAGAAACCAAAAAACATTTTTTGTTTTATGAATCCGACAACGATTGACCTAGCTCCTACGTATATACATTTATGATGGACAATAAGGTATTACGTAATTCTTTATCTAGAGAAATGCGAAGTTTGTTTGAAAATTATTATTGATTGTTTGAGATTTTTAAAAAGTGAAACCCGACAAAGATTGACATTGTTTTTTTTAAAGATTTTTGTATTCTTCTATTTGTAAAAATATGGTGGGAAAAAAAGAAAAGGAAAGAGACTCACCATAAGCCGACGCGTACCCATACCCTTTATTTTATGATTTAATATTTTTTTATAGGAAAATACGTATAAGAAATATTTTCTTTTTTAATTTTTTTTTAAATTGTTTATTTATTATTTATTCTTTTAGCAAAATTTTAAAAAATAAATATCACGCGGGAGATATAACCAATACCAAAAGAAACGCGAAAAGATATTCTTTTTTATAACTTCTAACAAAAACCTTCAAAGTACAATGAAAAGAGAAGGAGAATGGTGCACAGATGACATACCCTTTTGGCTTTAAGTATTCCCTGAGTTCTCCGTTTCTTTTGCCAAAGTTCCTCTAGCGTGAGAACTTACTTTCCTCTGTACTCTCTCTCATTCTTTCTATCTCTATTATTTCAGAGTGTATCTCTCTCTTGTTCATCTCTTTTTTCATGACAGTGTGCGTATTTATATACATACATTGTAATATTATGGTAATTTTTCCCTTAATTGTGAATTAATTGACAAATAGGGAAATAAAATGTCTTCCAAGAAAAAGAAATCAAATAATATTCAAGACATTGACTATAATTATTATCAGAAAATTTGTCCATTTTTAAAATCATATTTTCCTCTTTAAAAGCAACTGACCTACCAAATGTTATTTTAATTAGGGTTTAATCCTTTTCGACATCCCTATTTGTGCATGATTGTCTCAGATAGGTCCTCTTATTTTGAAAAATCTCGTTTAGGTTCCTTTTTATGTAAAATTTAAGTAATAACGTCCTTGCCGTTAATTGTCGTAGACGGCGTTAAATTTTTTGCCTTGTGGCATGGTGAGCTGGCATTTAATAACATGTGGCACAGTAAATCTCAGATACGTGGAAACCTTCTCCTCTTCCTCGCCAACTCCAACCTCATCTTCTCTCCTCTCTGGAGAACCAGAGATCAACCTTCTCACCAACACCCTTTTGTGTGATTCAATCTCATCTTCCTCACCGTCGCAGAACCATTCCAAGAGCAGATCCTCCTTCTTTGCCAACAACTTGACCTCCTGAACGACATGATTGCCGTCTGCCGCCTCAAAACGCACAGATCGAAGATCCTCCGAGAACCGAGTCACCGTCTGCCGCCGCAACTCGTGCGCGTCCACCTCCTCGAGTCCCATCGCCTTCCGAGACGCCGTGAACAGACAATTCCTCGCCGCCGTGTGAGAGTCGGGAAACGACAGATCTAAGATGGGAGGACGACGGCAGAGAAGATGACGAGTCCTCTACCTCATGTGACGGCTTCCAGAGCACGCCTTTGACATGGAGGTTCTAGAGGTGGCACCGCTGCTGCTCTTCCAGGCCGACGAAGGTCGCACCACTAGCCGGAACGACGAGACCTACGTCAGTACCATTTGGTCGTCTCAGCAACCCACGCATCAATTTCTTTAACGCCGTCCAGCCAACTTAACGGGAAGGTCTCAATTGATTTAAATTTTCAAAATTAAGGACCATTTTGACACACTTTAGAAAACGAGGACCTATGTGAGACATTCCTGCACAAATAGGGATGTCGAAAAGGATTAAACCTTTTTNACTCTAAACTCGCAACGTAGAACAAATGAAGAACTTACGTCTAATAAGGAAAGCATTGTGCCTAAGAATCTCCCTAACCACAACGAACTTACCTCTAAATGGGGCAAACGAGAAGGCAAGCTTGGCACAACAATGAACAAACAACACAATCTCAAAAGTGGCTAAGAACAAACAGAAAGAACAAAACAAAAAACAACTGGCGCCTAAGAAGGAAGAAGAGAAATTAGAAAACAAATGCTGGACAAGTGACTTAGGTTTTCTAGGCTTAAACTCGAAAAGAAGAAGAAAGGAAGTATCACGCCATTACATTTGTGCAATTTTTCATCCAAACATTTTCACGTCAACAACTTCTAAAATAATTAACGAAACAGTTGGAAAATTACTCGTCAACTGTGTCAAAATGTTTAAAAATCATGTTAACATATCATTTTCCAAAATTGTTATTAATCTACCTACTAGACTATGAAGGTATGTCAAGTTACTAACCATAAATAAATGATATTTTTATTTTCTTAATTTTCAATTTTAAAATTAATTAAATACATTCCAATGATACACCAGGAAAAGGACATACTTATGTTGTCTATTATAATTTTCTTTTAAAGTTTCCATAAGATAAAATTAATGTTGTAAACTGGTATCGCGCAATGAAAATGTTTTAAAGAGTGTGAAACGGTCAAAAGCCAAGAAGGGAGGGGTGAATTAGTTCTTTTAAAAATTGTGATTTTCTATTAGAACTTTTATCAAATAGTTGGTAAACTAAAAGTGTAGAGATAGAGAAAATCACACAAAATTTTTTATCCTGGTTCGAGCACTTAATATGTTAGATCGAGCCCTTATAAGTAAGTTAAAAGTTATAATAAATGGTAAAAAGTATTGGGTTATTGGGCTCCCTTCCTATATGGAGAATAGGTCCAAATAATGTGGACCATTATATCTCACTAGGTTTAGTGGACATGGGCCAGATTAGTAGGACATATTAGAGTCATTTGAAGAGAGGAAAAAACCAAGTGAGAGAAAAAGGAAGAGAGAAACTCTTTCTCGCATAACCTTAAACCTACACTGGTGTTTTCGTCGTTGTGAAGTTGTTCACTATTAGATCGAGGTGATTTTTGGACAGTGGGTTCCAGACGTAGGGTTCTTCATTCTAACCATTCGGATCGTTAATCGAAGGTATAGTTTGGGAGAAATCAGTCCCGCATCAACAACCCTGCTTTGGAGAATTTTCATCTTCTTTGTTCACATTTATAAGCATTTGTGCTTAGTTAAATTGGCTGATTAAAAACACCATTTGGTGTTGTTCTTGGAGACTCCTTTCTATCCTATTATTGATCATAGTGGATTTTTCTTTGGTCTTGACGAGTCGTAGTTTTTACTCTTGCATTGAGGGGTTTTCCACGTTAAAAATTGTTGGTGTCTCTTTATGCTATGGATTCTGTTTTTGTTCTATTTTTTTGGTGCTCCTCACAGATTCTCGCAAGAAGGGGGATTGCATTTTTGCTTCATTATTACTCTTTGCTAAGTTTTTTATATTTTTTGGCCCTTTACCCATCAAAGTGGCATCAGAGCTCTTTGGTTAAGGGAATGTTTAGTTTGCATGAATGATGGAGACACATATAAAATTGATTCCTTTGAATGGAGAAAATTATCACCTATGGAAATGCAAGATGAAGGACTTTCTATTTGTGAAAAATTTGCATCTTCATGTTTTTACTTCCAATAAGCCGGAATCCAAGTCAGATGAAGAATGGAATTTTGAACATCAATAGGTGTGTGGATTTATCAAGCTATTTGTTGATGATAATGTTTATAATTTTTTTTGCGAATGAGACACATGCGAGAAGCCTATGAGATAAACTTGAGTCCTTGTACGCTTCTAAGTTAAGGACTAATAAATTGTACTTGTTGAAAAATTTTGTGGAGTTCAAGTACAAGGAAGGAACTTCTGTTTCAAATCACTTGAGTGAGTTTCAAGAACGCTATGATCAATTAACAGGAGTGTGTATAAAATTTGATGATGATCTATTGGAACTATTCCTATTAAACTCTTTACCGGATTCATGGGAGACATTTCAGGTTTCCATGATAAGGGCTACCCCTAATGGTGATATTTCTATGCAAATGGCAAAGAGTGGTGCACTTAATAAGGAGATGAGAAGGAAGATACAAGGTACTTCATCTTATTCAGAAGTTCTTATTACAGAAAATAAGGGGAGAAGCCAAAAGAAAGAACAAAATAGAGATAAAAGCAAGAGCAAGTATAGGTCTCGATACACAAATGTGGAGTATCACTATTGTCACAAAACAGAGCATATAAAGAACTACTTTTTGTGTGTGGAAGAAAGAGAGCAAAGACAAAAAGGGTAAACAAAGAGAAAAGGATAATGATGATGGTGATTGTGTTACTACTACTACATGTGGTGCTTGTTTGACTTCATGATTATGACACTAATAATCTTGTATATCATGAGAGCATGTGGATAATTGATCGTGGCCCATTGAAGGTAAAGTCTTTTAGTAGTGCACTTTACTTTGTTACTTTTATTGATGATTATTCCAGGAAGCTTTGGGTCTATGCACTACATAGAAAGGACCAAGTGTTGGACAAATTTAAAAAATTTCATGCTTTGGTTGAGAGGCAGTCACGCAAGAAGCTAAAGCGCATTCGTACTAACAATGATGGTGAATATTGTGGACCATTTAATGTTTATTGTAGAAAATATAGTATTGCACATAAGAATACTCCTCCCAAAAAGCTGAATGATTTAGCTGAGAGGATAAACATGACATTGATTGAAAGAGTTAAGTGTATGCTTTCTGAAGTAAAATTGCCTAAGCATTTCTAGGGTGAGGCATTGCTTACAGAAGTGCATGTTATTAATCTAAGTCCTGCAGTTGTTTTGAACTTTGAGGTGCCAAACAAGATTTGGTTTGGAAAGAATGTTACTTATGATCATTTGCGTGTCTTCGATTGAAAAACATTTGTTCATGTTCCAAAGGATGAAAGATCCAAGTTGGATGTGAAGATAAGGCAATGCATCTTCATTGATTTTGGTCAGGATGAATTTGGCTACAAGTTATATGACCCCATTGAAAAGAAATTTGTTAGAAGTTGTGATGTGTAATTCATGGAAGATCAAACCATTGAAGATACTGATAAGGTGAAGAAGTTTACACCTAAGGAAAATGGTAATATGGCTGATGTTGATCCAATTCGTTTGTTTATAATGATTTGGATATTGATGATCATGAGCAACATGATGATATTGATAATCACAGGTTAGAGATGACTTGGATGTTCCTATTGATAATGTTGATGAAGAGGAACATGAGGTGTCACAAGATGAGAGTAATAGTGATGTACCTTAGCTACCTCAAGCTCAACCTAGAAGATTTGACAGGCCAACACAACATTCTAATAAGTTATCTACCAATGATTATGTGATGTTGACTGATGAGGGAGAACCTAAATGTTATGATGAGTAGGCCATTGTGAGTGAAGAAAAGAAAAAATGGTTGGATGCAATGTAGGATAAGATGAAATCTTTGCATGATAATCACACTTATGACTTGGTGAAGTTGCCTAAGGGTAGGAGAGCCTTCGAGAACAAGTGGATTTTCAGGGTGAAGCAAGAGAGCAATTCTACATCTACCAGATACAAAGGCAGATTAGTGGTGTAATGTTTCAAACAAAGAAAAGGTGTTGACTTCAATGAGATTTTCTCACTTGTGGTGAGGATGACATCCATCAAAACTATGTTAAGTTTAGCTGCTACTTTGGATTTGGAGGTTAGCAGATGGATGTGAAGACAACTTTCCTTCATGGTGATTTGGAGGAAGAGATTTACATGAAGGAACATGATGGTTTTCTTGTTGAAAGCAAGGAAGACTATGTGTGTAGGCTACGAAAAAGCCTATATGGTTTGAAGCGGGCTCCAAGGCAATGGTATAAGAAGTTTGAGTCTGTTATGTGTGAGCAAGGCTACAAGAAGACTACTTCTGACCATTGTGTTTTTATTAGGAAATTTTTTGGAATGATTTCATTATCATGTTGTTATATGTTGATGACATGCTTATTATTGGGAAAGATGTATCCAAAATTGACAGGTTGAAGAAGCAACTAGGAGAGTCATTTACCATGAAAGACATGGGAGCTACTAAGAAGATTCTTAGTATAAGTATCACTCGTGATAGAAAAGAGAAGAAACTTGGTTGTCACAAGAGCACTACATTCAGAAGGTTTTGCAAAGATTCCAAATGGAAAATTCTAAAGTTGTAACTATTCCTCTTGCTACTCATTTTAAGTTGAGTGTTAAACAAAGTCCTTCAAATGAAGTTGAGAAGATATATATGAGAAAAGTTCCTTATGTTTCTGCAGTGGGTAGTTTGATATATGCAATGGTATGTACAAGGCTTGATATTGCACATGTTGTTGGTAAAATTAGTAGATTTCTGTCAAATCCAGGTAGAGAGCATTGGAATGTTGTGAAATGGATTTTGAGGTATCTTCACGATACTAGTAGTTTGAGGCTTTGTTTTGGAGGTGATAAGCCTACTTTGGTGGGTTACTCAGATTTAGATATAG